TTTGTCTTTTTGAAGCAGTTTCTCCCTATAGCCCCAGCTGACTGGAACTTGCTATGTAGACCAGACTGGGCCTTGAACTCGCAGAGATCCTCCTACCTCTACCTCCTGAGTGCTGGGACTAAAGGTGTGCACCACCACACTCAGCGAATAAGCACCTTTTAAATCTTCATCCTTCAATTTTCTTTTATGGTAGAGCCTAAATCTTCCAATAAGAAAGAGAATTGGCCATGGATGACGACTTCTACTCTGCCTGGCAAGAGAATTTAGTCTTATTTCTTTCATGGAATCATTGTGTAATTGCTCTTAAACAAATCATTTCTTTATAAGAACAAACCTTTCTTGTTCAGTTTTTCTATATCATAAAAATTCACCAAAAATGCTTAAAGATTGGAGAGTGACATTCATTCAAATTAATTGTAGGTATCTTCCCAGGTTTATATTTTGGCACCAGCTCTATCGTGCGTTTAAATAAACCCCTTAAATATGTTTATGGAAATTAGCAATCCATGCAAATGATTTCATACTCACCACTTACATATCTAATAGTACTACAGAGTGGAAAATTGGAGTTTGGTACCAAAATCTAATGTCTGCAATCATACAATAATAACTACTGAAATCTCATGTTTCTTTCTCTCCTTAGCTACTTTGTTTTCTTGTATCTTACAAAAGATAGTCGTTTCCTCACCATAAATATTATGAACAAGACAACTTCTGAGGTATGGTTGATAGATGGCCTGAGCCCTTGGGATCCACCAGTACTAATTCAGAAGAGAATACATGGAGTCTTGTACTATGTTGAGCACCGAGATGATGAATTATACATTCTCACCAATGTTGGAGAACCTACAGAATTCAAGGTATTTCTCATTTCTGCTTGTCCTCACCAACATTCCTTGCTCTAAGAGAATTGTTTGTGGGTTAAAAGGTTGCTACTACCTTCCTACACATTATCAGTTCTGTTTCTCTTCCCTTAGAGCTAACATCTCTACCTATTTTAATTGAATTTAAAAGATCAATAAATGAAATATATTCTATCCTACTTATATTAAAAGAACAAACTTCAACTTGTGATGGGGTGACTTGGCAGATTGGGTTAGTGTCCGACAGACAAACTGGTGTATGTCCACTGGTTGACTGTCAACTAAGCACTACACATATCATTTCACCACCCAGTATGCTAGCCTGGGCTTAAATGGCAGCTTTCATACATCATCCGGCATACGGTTTAAATCTTTAACTCCTCCTAAAATAGTGACAACTAGTATGGTCGTCTTTTCAGTGGTTTCATCCTTGAATGTTGTAGCCTTTCTGTTTTGTCATCTAGATCTCCACTAACTTTGTTTCTTACAGCTGATGAGAACAGCGGCTGATACCCCTGCTATTATGAATTGGGATTTATTTTTCACAATGAAGAGAAATACAAAAGTTGTAGACTTGGACATGTTTAAGGATCACTGTGTTCTGTTCCTGAAGCACAGCAATCTCCTTTATGTTAACGTGATTGGTCTGGCTGATGATTCTGTTCGGTCTCTAAAGGTATGTCTGGTACTATTCATCAAAACACAGTTTCATTTAATAGAGCATCACATTTTGAATATGGTGTACTTTTTCTTTTCTTTTTTTTTTTTTTTTTTTGGTATTTTTGAGACAGGGTCTCCCTGTAGCCCCAGCTGACCTGGAACTCACTATGTAGACCAAGTCATGTGCTGTTTCTTAAAGTGAATTTTGTATCTCTAGAATTTAGCATACTGGCTTTTTCTTAGGCTTAGATTTATTTTAGAGTTAATTGAGAAACCTTGTTTTTTTTTTTAATTTTATTTTTATTTTATGTGTATATATGTATTACCTGCATGTAGGTAAGTGCACCCATGTCATGCAGTGCCCGCGGAGGACAGAAGAGGCTGTCAGATCCCCTGGGACTGGAGTTACACACAGTTGTTCACTGCCGTGTGGGTGCCGAGATTCGAACCCGGGTCTTCTGAAAGAACAGCCAATGTTCTTAACCGCTGAGCCATCTCTCCAGCCCCAAGAAACCTTGTTTTTAATACAGTTTTACTTAAACTAATACCTTACAGTATGGACTTCAGAAATATAGTTAGGAGCCATTTATTTACCTTTCTGTATAGCTCTGTGTATCAGGTGTCTTTACAACTTGAGGTACAGCAACTCAAGCCTACTTGGCATCTAGAACCCAGCCACTGACTGCTGCTTGCCCACGTGTGTCCCAGGAGGACAATAGTTATGTCCACTGTTTTTCTGCTGCATGTCTATATATGTGTTATCCCTTTACCCATGCTTTGCTCTCTTTCATTCATGGGTGACAGTGATCTCCACAGCAACACAGAAAGATGACGACAGCATGTCTGACTAGTTAACACTGCCTGTGGCTGCAAGAACAAGATGAAATGCCTTCAGAAATAAATAAATACTTAATAAATTTAGTGAATGGCAACCTTATTGTCCAGTTTCAAAGCAGCATTAAGTAAATTAAGGTAGCAGGCCTTGAAGGAAAGTAGGGCACCATTTTGCTATGGGGAGAGTTATTGAGTGAATTGAACAGCAAGCAATACGCCTTTTAAATCCCCCCTTCCACATTGTCAAAATTCCTATTAAAGTGTAATCAAGTCAATTCAGTGGCTGTTTATTGAACTCCTATGTGCGGAATACCATATTCAGCATTATGGAATGGAAAAACGGAACTAAATATCTGGCCTTAAAGAGAATAAAGTTTTTTGTGACAGTAGACTAGAACACAAAGCTAAGTGTAAGGTACTTTTACATAAGAGATATCAAAAACAAAATTAAGGAGCTCAAAGGAAGAGAAGAATTCTTGGTTTAGGAAAGTTTTTGTAAGATAATATAGAGAATTCTTTTTTTATTATTAGTTTTATGTATATGTGCATATTGCCTACATGTAGGTAAGTGCACCCATGTCATGCAGTGCCCAAGGAGGACCAAAGAGGCTGTCGGATCCCCTGGAACTGGAGTTACAGACAGTTGTTAGCTGCTATGTGGGTGCTAGGATTCGCACCCGGGTCTTCTGCAAAAACAGTGTTCTTAACCACTGAGCCATCTCTCCAGCCCCTTTGTAAGATAATATAAATTAGAGATAGTCTAAAGAGAATAGGTAGTGGGGGCTAGAGAGATGCCTCAGTGGTTGGGAACACTGGCTGCTTTTGTAGAAGAGCAGGGTTCGATTCCCAGCACCCACATGGTGGCTTAAAACTTTCTATGACTCCAGTTCCAGGGGAATCTGACATCCTCTTCTGGGCATTGCATGACATGGGTACATTTACACACAGGCAGGCAATACACTCACATACATAAAATAAAAATAATAAAATATTTTTTTAAAAAGAGAATAGGTAGGATTTTGATATGCAGAATGGGCTAACTCAAGGATGAGAAAACCTTCAAAGCTCTAAGCTGGAGAAGTTTAAAATATTCAGAGAACCAACTCCTTTTTTTTTTTTTTTTTTTTGGGGGGGGGGGGGGGGGGGGGGTTTTTTGAGACAGGGTCTCCCAGTCACCCCAGCTTGGCTGGATCTCACTATGTAGACCAGACTGGCCTTGAACTCACAGAGATCTGCCTGCCTCTGCCTCCCTAGTGCTGGGATTAAAGGCGAGTACCACCATGCTCAGCATCAGAGAACCAACTCTTAAACCTGTTTTGCTGAAGTGGAATGCATTTCTGGAGAATGGAGCTATGATGTAATGCTTTTTCATTGTTGGTAGGATATAAGCAATCTGCATAAATTATGGGAAGGGAAACATTTAGTTTTTGAGCGTGGAAGTAGCTTTAAGTGTTGGAGATGTATTTCATGAGGTTATTAGGCAACCATATTAGTGTAAACTGAAGTAAAAAGGTAATAGGGAAGGAAGTAAGTTTCAAGATTGTTATACTTGTCCAAATAAGAAATAATGATTACAGGAATGCATCACCACACCCAGTTTTATGTGGTGCAGGGTTTTGAACCAGGGCCTTAGGGTGTATGTTAGGCAAGTACTTTACGAATTGAACTATATCCCAGCCTCTAAGATTATACTTCTAGGGAAATATAACCTTTTTGTATGATTGTAAATATTCTTATTTTAAAGGTATTTCTCACTTTGCACTGTTTGAACTTCCATCACAGCAAACATCATAACCATAGATACCTATTACGCTTTGAATAACAGTCTAGGTCATCATCAAATAGAATCAAATGGTACATTACACACCAAATGCTACTTAAAAGTAATTTTGGGGGGCTGGAGAGATGGCTCAGTGGTTAAGAACATTGACTGTTCTTGCAGAAGACCCGGGTTTGAATACCAGCACCCACATGGCAGCTAACAACTATCCATAACTCCAGTTCCAGGGGATCTGACAGCCTTTTCTGTCCTCCGCGGGCATTGCATGACACAGCTGTACTTACCTACCTGCAGGCAATACACGCATACACATAAAATAAAAATAATAAATAAAAAATACTTTTTTAAAAAAAAAAGTAATTTCATGGGAGCTAACAACTATCTGTAACTCCAGTCCCAGGGGATCCACCAGCCTCTTCTGACTTCCGTGGGCATTGCACGACACGGGTACACTTACCTACATGCAGGTAATACACACATATACATAAAATAAAAATAATGAATAAATTTTTTTAAGTAATTTTATAGACTAGACCCTTTTCATGATCCTGGATAATACTGATTAACATCTGTAGACATATTGTACATGAAGGGCAAAACCTTTAGCGCAGTGTGAGTGGTTCATAAAGTATTTCTATGTGTGTAACATCTCTGCCTAGTAGGCACTTAACTAGGAACTCTTTCTAAACCAGATCTCAGCAATGGAGGCATTAAACCTTCCATAAATTTACTTCTCATCCTTGGTCATCATGTCATCAATATTTTCTTATACTTTTTCCACAAAAGAATGATATTTAATTGATCATGATACTTAAAGTAAATTGAGTATATTTTTATTGTCATCCTAGTGAGTCAAACCCAGGACTTTGCACATACTAATCAAACTCTCTTCCACTGAAATTTTGTGTTGTATTCTAACGGCTTTATTTGGAAGAGGAACCGTGTACCTAGGCCAGTGTTCTTTCAGCACGTTATAGCTCAGTAGGAAATATGGCTTAAGATATCTTTGGATCAGCTGGACAAGTGTTTAAAAGAACATAGCCTTGGAATAGTTCTTGTATCATTAAAGCTTTAACCTTTATCCCCTTGGTGTGAGAAAAACGCCCAGACTTTGATTCATTGGTACCAGTTGTCCTAAAGCTAAAACAACATATTCCATAGTCATCTCACCAAAAAGCAGAAAACCTTGTGATTGTATGGGTCAGGGAATCTTGGACCCATACTGACATTAGATTATGAGGCTTGCAGTAAGGCTTCTTTAAAGTACAGATACACTGCAAATGTCTGTCCTTATTTGTGTTTCCTGAAAACAGACTTTTCGGATTAATTAGGAAAAATGTGCCTGATGAACATTCTCTTTGGCTAGAGTTTCTGCAAGTGAAATACTGTACTCTTGATGTTCACAGCCCCCATTCTCCTTTTCAGTAGTGCCGGCCAGTGATGTTTCTGTGCCAAGACCTCTGATTTTCTAAGGAATTTGCTCTTTCTACAATTATTTAGGAAAAGAAAGGCAATTTTCTTTTAACATTCTTACTCTCGGTACCTTTTCTAACACTCTGCCAACTGCTTACCAGAGTTCTTTAAAAGGTGTAAGTGGGATGTTAGTGGAAGGCTTGAAGCTGGATCCTGCTGCTCTAAGAGAATAAATTTTGATTCCTTTCCTTTTTTGTTAAAGTTAAGAATCTTAAGCATAATAGCTTTGAGTCTCTCAGAGTCAGTATGCCTGGAAAGGTTTTGTTCTATACAATGGTTAGCCTCAAAGCTAAAGTTAGAAACAAATTGTTAATGCTTTAGTGCTGCTGAGCCCGTTTGTAGCCCCAGAATAATAACTCTCATCACTGGGCTGTCCAGGCACCAGGCTAACGACTGGTGGGAAAATTATTCAAAACATACACATGAGAGATTTTATGTTCTGTGAGAACAGAGATCTTAGAGCTGTTGCTGGGGTTTAGAATTACTATTTCGTTTGTTCTCATTCGTAACCATTTGGTTATTTCATCATCCAGGTTTATATCCCAAAATAAACTTTTATGTTCAAATCATTTTCATGTAAATCTAGAATCATAATAAACCTTTTCTCACAATTTTTCCTTATCTTATTTGTCATTAATATACAATTTTATTTGTTTACTTGTAATCAATTCTGTTTTAATGAAGGAATTCTTAAATGATATATCATGTGGTAACTGGATGCCCACATCATGTTTGGAGCGGACTCAGAAACTTAATGTTTTATTTCTCCAGCTCCCTCCTTGGGCCTGTGGATTCATAATGGATACAAATTCTGACCCAAAGAACTGCCCCTTTCAGCTTTGCTCTCCAATAAGACCTCCAAAATATTACACTTACAAATTTGCAGAAGGCAAACTGTTTGAGGAAACTGGACATGAAGACCCAATTACAAAGACCAGTCGTGTTTTACGCATAGAAGCCAAAAGCAAGGTAGGCGTAATCTCTCCCTTGAGCTCCCTGAAAGCACATGGGCTCAGGGCTTCAGCTGCTGGGACTGCACTGTTTTCTGAAACAGACGTCTTATGCTACATAAGACTTAGATGGTATTAGGGAATACGTGGATTTTTCTTATTAATGTTAATACATATGTGTTTATTGTAACATAGATTTAAAGTTTTATGACTAGTATGCAGCCTTTCACAAAATTGTTTGATTTTTTTTGTTTTGGTTTTGGGGGGGGGGTTTGTTTGTTTTGGGGGGGTTGTTTTGTTTTTTTGTCTTTTTGAGACAGGGTCTCCCTGTAGCCCCAGATGTCCTGGAACTCACTATGTAGACCAAGCTGGCCTCAAACTCACAAAGGTCCGCCTGCCTCTACCTCCCAAGTACTGGGATTAAAGGCATGAACCACCACGCCCGGCCAAAATTGTTTTTAAAAGTTGAGTCAAAGAAAAAAATGATAATAGTCAAAGTTAGTATCTAGTTATGGCAGAAATTGAGATGGTATGGTCAGTAGCTGATTAGAGTGAATAAACTAATACAGCCCCAGCCTTCAGGAAATATCAGTGTAGCAGGGAAGATGCCAGAGATTAAAGAAATAATTGCTAACGTATTGACTGTTGCAAAGGAAAGCACTGGACACAGGTGGTAAAGAGACCTTATCTAGTATAGCAAGTTCAGAAAGGCCTTCTCTGAGGAAGTGGTGCCGCAGGTAACACCTCTGTGATGATCAAAATTAAACTGAAAAGGAGACAGCGATCCCATTTTATGCAGACACTTGGAATTTGAGGAGCACTGATACAGTTCAAATAGTATACAGGAGGTTAGTAAGATCAAAGTCTGTAAGAAAGGGAAAGTTAGCAGGGAGAAAACTAGAGCTAAGAAACAAGAGAAATCCCATACATCTTGTACTCCAGGTATAGTCAGTATACAGAATTTATAGTTTGTGTGAATAAGGATCAAATTGATAGATTAATTATAGCCTTTGGTTTAAGGAATTTTCAGACCTTAGCATATCATACATCAAGTAATTTCCCAAGAGCTTGGGTCCTAGACTGAATACAAAGAAAAAGGAAGCTGAGCACCAGCATCCCTCTCTCTGCTTCCTGACTGCAGACACAAGTGTGAGCAGATCCTTGACATTCCTGTCACCATGCCTTCTCTGTGCCAAAATAAACCTTTCCTTCAAAAAAGCCTAATAAATGTAAATGGGCCTTTTAAGGATGTGGGTGCTTTACCACCAGTAAGGTCAGAATGCAATTTCAGACCCTAATGTTGAGAATTCTGAGTATGGGAAACAAAAAATGAAGCTGATAAAACTTTTCATTTAGAATATTTGTAATTATTAAAGGATAAGAAATGTCAATATCTAGCCCTAGGCATAGAGAGAATTTTATGCTAAAATTTCCAACCTTGTTAGTTATTTTGGTTTTACCTGAAAGAAAAAAAATTAATATTCAGCAATGAACTCTTTTATGTTACTTTAGTATTATGAAAAGTTGTGCTAATATTCATGCCAGGTCTGTTCTTTTCTGGGAGGTAGCAGGGTAGTTGAAATCAAGAATGATGTATGCTGTGTCTGTAGAGACCATAACTTGTCACAACATTGATGTTTGGTGTCAGTAAGAATCATGCAGAGGGTTGAGGGGGCAAGTGGACTTCATTATATTTTAAAGATAAACCATTTAAAACTCTTTGGGGACTGGGGGTTTAGCTCAGTGGTAGAGCCATTGCCTAGCCTGTGTCCTGGCTTTGATCCCAAGCACTGCAAAGAAACAAACAAGAAAGACTTCCTAACATGTGTAGTAATTCTTCATTTCCAGGATGGAAAATTAGTGCCAATGACTATTTTTCACAAAACGGATTCTGAGGACTTACAGAAGAAACCTCTCTTGGTACATGTCTATGGAGCTTACGGAATGGATTTGAAAATGAATTTCAGACCTGAGAGGCGGGTCATGGTAGATGATGGATGGATATTAGCATACTGTCATGTGAGGTGAGTCAGCACATTCAACCTGTCACATGAATGCTAGAACATTGAGACAGCTACAGCAACAATGTAGTAGGGCAAAAGCGTGCCTTCTCATCTGCCTTCCTAGGTGTATGTATTCCTAAACCTGCTGGGACTTGATTCAGAGAACAGATTAGTGGATCCAAAGAACCAAAGGGTGGATTTTTTTTTAGGATTTTTAAAAATAGATTTAACAGCCTTTATACTTAATTAGTTACGTTGTTATTTCCAACCAATTCTCCCAAGTTTAGTTTTGGTTTGGATAGGTGGTGGTGGTTGTTGTTTGGTTTTGGATTTCTGAGATAGGGTCTCATTATATAGTACTAGCTTACCTGAAACTTGCTTTGTGGACCAGGCTGACCTCAAACTCACAGAGTTCACAAAATCTGCCTCCCGAGTGCTGGGACTAAAGGCTAAAGGTGTCTGCCACCAGACTTCTTTCTAATTCCCATTTTATTTTAGCGTTTTCAAGACATAATTACAATTTTATTTCTGCTTAAAATCTTTTCTACCGCCCTTTTTCCAGAACAAAGTCCAAATTCCTCAGTAAAGTAGTCTTAATGATCTGACTTATCTGTCTAGTAGTATCTTTTGGCTTTCAAATAACATACTCTGCCCCCTCCTTGTCCTAGCGCATTCTGTGTTTTATCTGTGTCTTAATGTTTCCCCTTCCTCGGCCTTTGGGAAACTCACCTGCCTTCACAGCTCAGTTTAGGTAGAAGCTCCTGTACATCTGTGCTACTGACTCATTATATGCCCTGACAGAGTCTATCCTCTGCTGCTGTAAAGTTTTCTCCATTTTATTACAGCAGCAAGCACAATGCTTTGATAACTCTGGTTTGCTTTCCTCTAGCAATTAGGATCTGTTCCTTGGGATATTATGCTTGTTTATATGTCTAAGGTCCTTAGTAAGGACAGTCCTTAGTAAGTAGCAGGTAGGCATTCAAAGCATACTTGTTGAATCAGTTTTTGATTATATTAACAGTTGGTAATTTTTCTCTCTGAAGAACTACCTAGGAACATTTTAGACTTTGCAAGCCAGTGTCTGTTGCATATTCCTTCTTGTTGTCTCCCAGCCCTTAATAACATGACATTTCTGAGCTTCCATGCTGTACAAAACAGGCCTGCAGGTACGGTTTTCTGACTTCTCCATCATTATCATTTTCTTTCACTGCAGGGGTGGTGGTGAGTTGGGCCTCCAATGGCATGCTGATGGCCGCCTAACTAAAAAACTCAATGGCCTTGCTGACTTAGAGGCTTGCATTAAGACGCTTCATGGCCAAGGCTTTTCTCAGCCAAGTCTAACAACTCTGACTGCTTTCAGTGCTGGAGGGGTGCTTGTGGGAGCGTTGTGCAATTCTAATCCAGAGCTCCTGAAAGCTGTGACTCTGGAGGTAAGTAGTCTGTCTCTTCTGTTTACAGAACAGGGCAAGAGTGAAACGGGAAATGTCTGTTACAGTTGGAGTGTAGCAAAGCTTTGAAGTTTAAACAGAGTTGTAGCTCTAGGAGAACTTGTAAAATCACTTAATCTTACTTTTTATTCTTCCCTGACAATAAATTTTACTAATTTTGAAGAATTTCCATTGAGAGACTAACGGCTCTTCCCAGTAACCATTTTCTATTTGTCAGAACCTTCATAATTGGCACATTTGGAAACTTATCATGTGTATCATAGTTGTAGACATCTAGTGGAGCCTCTGTAAATCTGGATGCACTGAGACCTCTGACTCTTCGTCAGTATAACAGTGTGCTGCCCACACTACACTCCTGGGCTTAGGGACTCCCTGTTCTTAGCTACTCCAGTCTTTACTTTCTTCTCTTTTTCACTATATAACTAGTCAGTCTGGCCTCGAACTCAGAATCCTCCTACCTCAGCCTTCAAAGTGCTAGGACTATAGGTATACTTTCATTGAAATGTCGTGCCCTGTTCTGAAAATGTTCTGTACTCTCTCCTACCCTTCCATAGTATGAAGCTATATTATAGCATTTGGTTTCACATCCATCTCCTGCTTTCTGGTTAGAGTCTGGAAAATAATGACTGGGATGGGTCACTGTAATTCTTTCCAGGGCAGGGCTTTTGTTTGTATGTTTGTTTGTTGAGTGCAAGAGGTAATAAGTAGGTTTTAAATAACCTTGGTCTGTAAATATATTTTCCATTAAAAATAGAAATACTATTATATATGTACATACACACACACACATATATATATATATATATATATATAGAGAGAGAGAGAGAGAGAGAGAGAGAGAGAGAGCATTACTCAGGGGAGAATAAGGGGAGATGTGGACAGGGATGGAGATCTAAATACCATCAAATTATATTATATGAAAATTACAAAAATTCAAGAAAAGAAGAAAAAGTTATTTAAAAAAATAGAAGTACTAAGTATAGAGGAAATAAACCTACCCACAAAAATAATAGCAGAATCACTTACAATATAAAGTGAAGCCTTGACTTTTAGAAATTAGAAATAGTCAGAAATGCATGTGTAAGGATACTTATCTCAGGTTGCTTTTTACAGTGAAGAATTGGGAACAACCTAAACATCCAACAATAAGTGTTTGAGTGAATCAGTTATTAATTACAAGTACCCAATTCCCTTAGTATTTGAAACATAAAGGGTTTTTAATTGAAGAATATTATGTTAAAAATGGATATGTTCAGGTGTATTAGAGGTATACAGCCAGGAACAGAACTGGCCCAGTGAGGCCATTACCAGTCACTGATGAGCACAGGGCATCTCACAGTACTGCTGCTGCTTCTAATATCTGGATAGCATCACACTTATACCTGAATAAATGCTCCCGATCATTGTTTGTACAGTAGAGATAGGCCCTTTCTAATGAGGTCATTAGCTTTGCAGCCAGAAAAAATTACAGGCACCCCACATTGGTTAATGGTAATGTGAGAGAAAGATAAAAAGCATAAACTGGGGGCTAGAAGGATGACTCAGTGGCTAAGAGCATTGGCTGCTCTTGCAGAGGACCTAGGTTCAATTCCCAGCACCTACATGGTAGCTAACATCCATTCATCACTCCAGTTCCAAGGGATCCAACTCCCTCTTCTGACCTCCGTTGGGCATTGCACAACACAGGTGAACTTGCATACATGCAGGCAGTACAAATGTGTGTGTGTGTGTGTGTGTGTGTGTGTGTGTGTGTGTGTGTTTCAAAGCATAAACAGAAAAATAGAGGTTTAGGTGAAAAAGTCTTCGTTTTATTAAATGTTTTAACTCTAATTAGAGCTAAGTGGTTTTTCTCTTCTTACCTTGAATATTTTCCAGATTTTATCCAATTAGTATTTATTCCTTTTTGTTTGTTTGTTTGGGTTTTTTTTAATTTTTACAAAAACTTTATTGAGAATTTCATACATGCATATAAGGTGTTTTGATCAAATCCATACCTACTCCCTCCCCTCCAACATTCCCCCCCTCTGAAGAGGGAACTCTAAAATCTTTTAAGGATTAGATACAAAGTCCCAAATACTTCTGACATTTTTGGCCTTTGGAACAGAGTGTGTTACTAACAGGCCCAAGAACATTTTGACTTTTAGCCAAGAAACTGGCTACATTTCTTTGGGGTCTTTTTACCCTAACTGCCTAGCCAATTCCTACCTCCTATTCTTATCGCGCCATCCTCTGAAGGGGTTACCCAAATTGCCAATAAGGAATAGGGATACCAATGGCTCTGGCTTCTTCCATGCTGAACAGGGACACAGGGTGAGGCAATTGGAGTACCCCTTCAGTGGGTCTATCTAAAAGACTCCCAAATTGCATAACTCTTGTCTCTAAGGGGAAAAGAAAGTCCTTGAATCATGAATAGGAGATGTGAAGGAGAAGTAAAGGCAAGAGTAATTAGCATTACAAGTTCTAGACAGGGAATTAGAAAAAAGTCAGAACAGGGCAAAATTCAAATGTTCATAAGAGAGTCCATTGAAGTTTCTTGACAAGGGCTTCCAAAAGCATCCCTCTATTGGGTTCTTCCTCATTTTTCTTTTGTCTTCCAAGGCTGGACTAGTTGGCTGGGAAAAGTGGCTGGATACTCAGGTGAAGGTCCAGTGACCCTGCTTGGCACTCCTTTAATGAATGAGCACAACTGTCAACAAGCCCAGTTGTGACTATGTTTAGCAGTCAGTCCCAGCAGAAGTCACGATGATGGTAGTTATAGCCGGGGTGGTGGTACATAACTTTAATCCCAGCACTCAAGAGGAAGAGGCAGGCAGATTTCTGTGAGTTCAAGGCCAATCTACATAGTGAGTTTCAGGCCAGCTGGGGCTACAGGGAGACCCTGTCTCAAAAAAAAAAAAAAGTCATAATATTTATTATTTTTAATGTAAAATTTCAACAGATGAAGCACCATTTATGTGCTATTGGGGACTTTTCTCATTTATAAAAATTTCTAATTGTGGCAAAATAACAAAATTTAGGATCTTAACCATTTTTAGTGTGCAGTTGACTAATGTTAACATGTTTACTTTGTGCAGTCTCCAGAACTCAGTTTTAATCTTACAAAGCTGTAGCACTGTGCCCATTGAACAATTTTCCAATCCCTGGAAACCACCTTTTAGCTTTTTCTCTGCATGAATTTGACTACCCCAGGCACCTCTTGCAAGTGGAATCATACTGAATTTACCTTTTTGACACTGGTTTATTTCACTTAGATGATACCCTTGACATTCATATTGCAAGAGGTATCAAAAGTTCAATCTGAGCCAGGTGTGGTGGTACACGCCTTTAATGCCAGCACTCAGGAGGTGAGTTCGAGGCCAGCCTGGTCTACATAGTGAGTTTCAGGCCAGCTGGGGCTATAGGGAGACCCTGTCTCAAAAAACAAAGTTAAGTCTGTTCTATGCATTGCTTCTTCCTTGTACAGTATCACTTTCAGATTCCGCTTTCAGCGCTTTAGGGTATATAGCTGGGATTGCGAGAGCAGAAGGTAAATATAAGTTTAATTTTTTGAGGAACTACCATACTCTTTGCCATAGTGACTACCCTATAGACTCTAGCCAACAGTATGTAAGTATTCCTATTTTTCTGTGTCATTACCATTTGACATTTCCTGAATATTGTGGGTTTTCTTCTAGTATAATAATTATGTTTTCTAGTTCACTTTCTATTGCTGTGATAAAACAAAACTAACCAAAAGAAAAGAGCTTATTTGGCTTACATGGCCAGTCACAGTTCATCCTTGAGAGAAGCCAGGACCAGGAACTCGGGCAGGAACCTGGAGGCAGGAGCTGAAGTACAGGCCATGGAGGAACGCTGCTTGCTGGCTTGCTCCCCTGGCCCATGCTCAGCCTGCTTTCTTATACAATACAGAATAACCTGCCCACCCACAGTGGGCTGGGCCCTCCCACATTTCTCAATAATTAAGAAAATGCCTCAGAGAAATACACACAGACCAATCTGATGGAGGAAATTTCTCAGTTGAGATTCTTCTTCCCAAGTGTGTCAAGTTAACAACTGGAACTATCCAGCATACCATCCTAATGAAAGTAAAGCCATATTTGTTATGTTAAGTAAAAATATGAGAAAAGGCACCAAACTAAAAACAAAAATTAGGAAATTAGAAGATATATTATTTCTTATTATATAAATGTCATTTAAGGAGTCTGAATGCTTTAAAGCCAGTTGCAAATTACCAGCTCTGCTTAAGACTTCTTGAGCTGTGTTCTTCCATATCAGGATATGTATTTATGAAGTACATTGTTTTTGAAACTCATTTTACCAACCTCTTAGTTGGTTTATAAGTTTGGCCTTCTTTTTGTTTTGATAGGCACCTTTCTTGGATGTTCTCAACACCATGGTGGATACTACACTTCCTCTGACACTAGAAGAAATTGAAGAATGGGGCAATCCTTCATCTGATGAAAAACATAAGAACTACATAAAACGCTACTGTCCCTACCAAAATATTAAGCCTCAGGTAGGAGATGCAGTATGATACACTATCCTAAAGCAGTAGAGAAGGTAACTCAGGACACTTAGCTGAGCCAAGGAGAGAGTTAGAAGAGCCTTAAGAGGTGTTTCTGCTTATGATACCAAATCATCTTTAGGATCGTGTCTGTTCATACCCCATGTTTGCTTCAGTTTAATAGCTCAAGAGAATATAGTTATCATGCCTTAATCCATTTTAACTAGATAAGTGAAGTTATGGTCTCTCTAGAAAAGAAAAGGCTGTTCCAGGTAAAAACTAGTCTGGTACTATAATACTGGTACCTGTTCAAGAATATTAGCTAAGAAAAAACATGGGAGAAAGCTAGAGGAACTTACTTTTATCCCTATCCGGTGGAAGGAACCATAGATGCAATACCAACTCTTGATACGTGTTTTCTTTCAGCATTATCCTTCAATTCATATCACAGCCTATGAAAATGACGAACGAGTACCTCTGAAAGGCATTGTAAACTATACTGAGAAACTCAAGGAAGCTGTTGAAGAACATACTAAGGAAGCAGGTGAAGGTATGAGACTGCCTGGAATCAGGCAACCTGGCTAACAGGATTAGTATCCTCAGCAAACAGCTTGAAGTAATACTTCATGTTACAGACCAAGCCATCTGCCTGTGATACAGGATAAATTGTTTCATTATGCTGCCTACCCAGTTAAAGTCCAAATAGCCATGACTGCCTCATCTCTCCTTCAGGGGATAACATTAAAGTCAGCAGGACATGAAGCAAAAATGAACTTAAATGTAAATTGAAGATCTCTCACAGTCATTCATTTAAATGTGCACACCTTTAATCTCAGCCCTCAGGAGGCAGAGGCAGGTGGATCTCTGTAAGTTGGAGGCCAGCCTGTTCCACACATGTGACTTCCAGGTGGGCTGGGACTAGAGAGACCCTATTGGAAAAAAAAAAAAAAATCATTCATTTAACAACATAAGGCATCTTTCTTTGGTGTCTCTAGAAGGTTTTGCTTTGGAGCTTTGCTATCCTAATCCTAGCTGCTTTAAGCTCGCTCATTTTTATTAGATAACTCTGTTTGCTTTGAAACTGTGTATTATGACAGTTCTGAGTTTGGAAATAGGAGGGACCCACCTATAAGTCAGAGTCTCCATGTCCCCGGCTCCAGTTCTCATTCCATCTATTGCTATTGCTGGTGTTTCCAGAGTCCCTTTCTCCCAGGTTCCACAGGCCATTGACTCCCTCCTGGGTCACAGCCTTCTCCATGTGGTGCCCCTTTATCCAGCTTCCTCAGCCATTAGGTCTCTGCTTGCCCTGGTTTAGAAACTTGGCTTTTGCTCCTTGCCCTCCCTTCTCTTTGGTGGTATTGATGGTGGTTTTATTCCTTTACTATTATTTGAATAAAGTGCTCAAAAGGAGAGGGCAGAACTGGGTCTCCATCTTCTAAAGACCTGATTGTTTTTATATGTTAACTCTTTCAGGTTATCAGGCCCCCAACATTATTTTAGATATTCAGCCTGGAGGGAATCATGTGATTGAAGATTCTCACAAAAAGGTATGTTACCCAGCCACTGTCAGTTGACAGAGGCCTCAAATATAGATGTGTTATATTCAGATTTTTCAATGGTTGAAGTAGGGTTTATGACAGATATTACACAGATGTCAGGCCCAGGGCATGAAGGAAGGGGTGGGGTCACTGCATCAAGAGAAAAGACTCACCCTTGTACTCAGTAAGGGAGCTCTGGTAAAGAAAGTAACTGAATCTTAATTGTTAGAAAGCTTTTGCCTCTTTCTGAATAAAAATACTGTGTTATAAATTGCTGACTTCAGGGTTAGGTTAGCTTCTGAAAGACAGAAAACGTTAGAAGTAGTCCTATCTAACTTTCAAATACATTTCTTTTAGATTACAGCCCAACTTAAATTCCTGTATGACGAGCTTGGACTTGACAGCACCAGTGCTTTCGAGGCTCTTAAGAAGTACCTAAAATTCTGAAATGCTACATTCAGCTTGGAACCAGAAACATAGAAATATTGGTCTTATTTCCAGTTGGGTTAAAAAAGTGAGGTTTTTAAGTTATTATGTAATTTTTTAAAAGTTGCTTCTTCATCTAAAGTTTTGCTTAATGTACATCTCGCTTATACTGTCCCTGACAGTGATGCATATGCCCCTTAGCCTGGGAAAGAAGTTTTCAGTCATACTTCTTCTTAGGATGTAGAGAAGGGAGTCAGGAAGGACTGAGGGTGGCAGAACTCCAGGCCTCCCTTCCAGTCAGAACAGCTTTGTGTCTTTTAATAGAATTTTCTTTGAACAGTTTACAAATCAGTGTCCTTCCGCTTTGCTAGTAAATGTTGTTTTTATACTGTGGCAGTGAGTCCCCTTCCAATTTCATGATTCCATTTTAAAGAAAAGGGTAACAGTCTTCATATTAAATGCTTTAGAACTTTGGAATAATCTTTTAAACATTTTATTATTCCTTCAGACATTTGAGACTCTTTTCCTAAAGCAGGGATAGTCATGCTACAGAAATGTCTGAGAATTACTGACTCTGCATAAAGTTAACTCAACATTGTGCTGTATGTAAAATTAAAATACAGCAGGTCCCTAACAGAGACTGTACAGTATATTTAGTGTACTGGAATAGCAGGCTCGATTGGAAACAAAGCATTTGTCTCTGAAAGCTGTTTGATGATGAAGGAGATTCTTCATGTTGTGTTCCAAGATGAGTCCTTCTCCCTTCTCCAGAGAAATAGCACGTGGATCGACTTCACTGCCTTTGGAGGTTGAATTGGTACTTAATCCTATTCTCAGTTTTGAAGGAAGACCTGAAATCAAGTCCTGTAGATTTAGCAGTGTTGATGATTCTCCAAAGTTTAGAACCACGATAAAGACTTTGTCTATGCCATCCAGCTCTCTGGTGTATACAACAGAGTGGCTGTCGTTCCTCAAAAGGCAAAACCAGCCCCTGCTGAGAAGCAGCTCTTTGGCTCGGAGTAGACTTAAATCTTGATATAATTTCAAAGCAGAACTAGGCTGAGTCTTTTGGACCTGTTTTTTTTTAAAGAATATTTACATAAATATTTCATTTTAAGAATTTTTAAGATACTTTAATACCCAATAAGAAATTACCCCCCAAAAAACTTGCTTCTATTTTTGCCCTTTTAAATAACTGCCAAAATTAAATAAATAAATATATAACTGCCAAATTGCAAAGCTTTAAGAAGTCGATACAGGACATTTATACTAATGTGATAGAAATTACAAATTCAGGTTGTCAGTTTATCTAGGACTTGTAGTATGCACAGTGCTCCACTGCATCCTAGAGTTGTTGCAGAAACCAAATTTAATTCCACCTTTGATATCCCAAAGCAAATGTCCAAATGTTCATGGACATTTTACTTGCTTAAATAAAGTCACTCTGTTCTGTGCTGTAACTGCCAGTGCCTGGAAGGAAAAAGCACTCTAACAGTGGGCTTGGTAAGCATCTGATAAATCTGGGTTTATCTAATCTCTTCTGTAGAATACTGTGCTGCCACTGTTGTGCAAACATCATGTGACTTCAGCAGACAGGGACATGATGGGACAGAACGCTGAAAGTGAAATAAAGAAAAAAGCTGCCTAAGATGGAAGTTAGGAAGTGCAGATTTGTTTATTTGGTTTTTTCTTTAACAGTGAAAGGTAGTTTATATCCAACAAAGATTTGTATTTATTTTATAGCTACCTAAAACATATCTAATTTAACACTGTACTTTTCTTTTGTTTCCTTAAGCATTTTTCTATTGCATAGTCTCCACAAACACCACTTTAATGGCAAATGATACTCTATCCGAAGGTTTCCTACACTCAACCCCCCTCCATTTTAGCATTTGCATTTCTAGACCATTATCTTCTTGATTTTTACCCCTCACATTTTTATATTATTTACTTTAAGATAGATTATCAGAAAGATAACTGCTGTGTCAAAGAGTTACAGACATTCGATACCTAATGCCAAATTGTTCTTAAGAGCCGTTGCCAAATCATTACTAGTGCTTGCACCCTTGCCAGCCATGGGGTGGTGGTAGTTACTGTTACTGTTGTTGTTGCTGTTGTTCTTTTGGGGTGGATGCCTAATATGTGTATTTGATGAATATCTCATGAATGTTTAAAAATGTTCTCTTTATCAGGTATAAAAGTATTTATGGTATGTGTATATGACTCGTCAGTTATTACTCGTTTTCTATAGCCTTAGCTAATGCATGAAAATCATAGTCCAGTGCTAGTCACATGAGAAGTGCCCAAGGAGCTACTCTTTTTATCTACATTAATTTGAAGTCTTTCCCTGTAATTGTGGATTTGTCTGTTTCTCTTTGCATTTCTCTAAGTACTTGTTTGATGTATTTTGAAGATTCTGTTAAATGCATAAAGATTCATGACTTTTAGTAGACTGTTCCCATTCTTTTCAATGTCTGAAAATTGCCTTTCTCTCATATAATGCTTTTCATATTGAATTCTATTTTGTCTGCTATTAAATATTTCCAAGCCTGCTTTTTGTAAGTCGTTTTTTGGCTAGAAAATATATGCACATAATATAAAATTCAGTTGCAAGAAGACTATATACAATGGGAAGGTTTTCTTCAGCCATTCCCAGTTCCCCTTTCGAGAGACAGACAAAGGCATTTTATATATAAGCAGTAGCTTATATTCTTGGATTTGTAGGCATCAAATTAAATGGTAGATCTGTGCCTCTGCACGCATATATAGGTAAACATGCTTAGCACAGATGGTGGCATGTTTTACTCTTTTTAATACATGTTATAAATGGTCTCTAAAGGCAGGAGAGATGACTCAGTGGTTAAGAGCACTGGCGTTCTTGCAGAGGACCTGGGTTCAAATTCCAGCACCCACATTGCAGCTAACAACCATCTGTTACTCCATTTCCAGGGGATCTGACATCCTCTTCTGTTCTTTGAGGGCACTGCATGACACAGGTGCACTTACACACATGCAGGCACAATACTCAAACACATAAAAATAAATCAGCTGGGCATGGTGGCATATGCCTTTAATATCAGCACTCAGGAGGCAGAGGCAGGCCAATCTCTGTGAGATCAAGGCCAAGCTGGTCTACACAGTGAGTTCTAGGATAGCTGGAGCTACAGGGAGACTGTCTCAAAAAGACCAACTAAACAAATAAATAAATACATTTAAAATAAAATGAGATAAATGGTCTCTCATCAATGCAGCTTTTCTTTCAAGAACTACATAACTAGTCCCATAATTAAATGAATTGTTTCTATTGGATAAATATTTAAATCATTTCTAAAGTGTTGTGCTATTACAAACAATACTGCAGTCAAGATCCTTGCATATTTATCATTTTGTATATATGTAAATATTCATATTACCTAGGAATAATATCTAAGGATATCTATGAATAAAACTACTAGATCTAAAAGTGTAGGCATACTTTTTGATAGCTAATTTGCAAGCTTTCTTTTTGTTACAGTTGCCTGCTGTATCTTTATTTGTCCTTATAGCTATATTTCTGAATCCTATCTAATCTTTTATTATCTTTTTTTAATATTTATTTTTATTTTATGTGTATGAATGTATTGCCTGCATGTGTGTTAGTGCACCTGTGTCGTGCAATGCCTGCAGAGGTCAGAAGAGGGTGTCAAATCCCCCAGAACTGGAGTTATGGATGGTTGTTAGCCATCATGTGGGTACTGAGAATCAAACCCAGGTCCTTTGCAAGAGCAGCCAGTGCTCTTGACCACTGAACCATCTCTCCAGCCCCCATATCTTTTAACATGTGAATTTAAACTATTCATCTTTGTGACTACCATGTTTCAACATAATCCTGAAACCTTATTTTATCTTTTTGTTTATATTGTTTCATTGTTTTTTTATTTTTTTTTTTTTTTTTTTTTTTTTTTTTTTTTTTTGTTTTTTTTTTTTTTTTTTTTTTTTTTTTTTTTTTTTGGTCTTATTGAGACAGGGTCTCCCTGTAGCCTCAGCTGGCCTGGAACTTGCTATGTAGACCAGGCTGGTCTCCAACTCACAGAGCTCCACCTGCCTCTGCCTCCCAAGTGCTTTTTAAAGAAGCTTTTAATGGATCAATTGGTTAAAGTATGTTTTTTTCTATGTTTTGAAAAGCACACATTTATATCTTTTCTCCTAATCCCAGCACACACGTAGTGGCTAACGTCCATAACTCGAGTTCCAAGGGATCAGATGCCTTCTTAAGACCTCCATGAGCATTGCACAACCTGGGTGCACTTACATACATGCAGGCAATACACTCATACACATAAAATTAAAATAATTTTTTAAAATGTAATTGCCATTGAGGACAGGGGAGATGCTTCAGTGGTTAAAAGCACTGGCTTATTCTTGCAAAGGACCCTGGTTCAGTTCCCACCACCCACATGGTGACTAACAACTGCCTGTAACTCCAGTTCCAGGTGACCCAATACCCTCTTCTTTGCTCCATGGGCATTGCACATGTGGTACATTTACATACATACAGGCAAAACATTCCTACATATGAAATAAAAACTATTTTCAGTTGTTTTGATTTGCTTTGTCGTTGTCCATCTTTGCTGGTACATGCTCTATGGGAGCTCTATGTTGGACTTACATTGGCTTGTGGAAATATTTTGGATATAATAAATGTCAAAAGAGACATTTAAAACATAAATAATACTTTAAAAAATACAAAAAGAATACCAAAAAGGAAAAAAATGAAAAACAAAATAAACATAAAGAGACATGCTTTAGTGTCTTCATGTGATGCAATAATTTTTTTTTTCTCCAGCACACAATCACTATGAGAACAGATAAAAAGAAGCATAGGTAAGACAAAGGGATGTGCTTTTCCAGAATGGCTTTAGGGTTTCCTCATGCCTTGTTTCTTAGGTAAACGACCATGCTCTCACATACACAGGAACCAACCCCTGACTGATCTTCCTGCCACCCGTCCCATCTGCTTCTCTCCTTGACTACCTTTTGAGGGGAAAAGAGGAGGAAGCTAAGCTTGCTCTGAAATCTCATGCTAGATCTTTGAGCGAAGGGCTATGAACTGTGAACGGCTCTTCATGTTCCTCATTTGTGCGCCTGTTCCTATTTTACCAAAAACATGATTTCCAAACTCCTTACAGATTGCACATTGCAAGATTAGTCTGTGATTGAAAGAGTATTAGTTAAGGTTTTACACTCACTCAGGGTGTTTTTAATCCATATGGAAACTCATTCCTTGTTGCTAGACTCCACATAAAAATTTTCATTGGTACTCACATCAACATTCACAGTATGGTAGTCAGAATTGGTAGGTAGCCAGGTGTGATTGCCTTCAGAAAAGCCAGCATTTGAACTATTGTCCCACTGCATTGGTGACTTTGAGAAAAGGGTATTCTGTGCCAGAAAACCAGAAAGAGAAAGCAATGATCAGGTTATTAAAAGATATTTTGGTCCTTCCTGATTTATGTCATAATAATCCCCTTAGCTCTTGATGTTTATAATCCTTAGCATTCATTATGAAAAAGCCCTAACACATGAAAGTCAGTTTCATGCTTTCAGTTTGAAAATAGTGATCTCTTCAGTTGGAAATAGACTTCCATCTGAACTTTTAATATGTTTAGAATCTTCCTGTTTTTTCAAATACTAAAAACGAGCAATGTAGGATTTCAAAGTATACCACGGGCAATTCATAATACTTCATCCTATGATTAACTGATGGAGAATTCCAGAACACTGCCAGAGTCAGCTGACCCTGATTTCTGTCCTGCCTCTTTATCCACCCTAATAATTGCATATGCCCACATACACAGACAAAGGGAGCTGCCGGTAGAAAAGTTTCATCTAGGGGCTGGAGAGATGGCTCAGTGGTTAAGAACACTGGTTGTTCTTGCAGAAGACCCTGGTTCGAATCCCAGCATCCACATGGCAGCTGACAACTGTCTCTAACTCTAGTTCCAGAGGATCCGACAGCCTCTTCTGTCCTCCGTGGGCATTGCATGACACGGGTGCACTTAGATGCAGGCATAACACTCATACACATAAAAAATAAAATAATCAAATATATTTTTTAAAAGTTTCATCTAAACCAAGTATTAGGGAAATTGAATCTCATCCAGGTGAGACTGTACAAAGTAAGGGTTTCAGATCAGTCATGTATCCAGCAACTCAACTTTAGACCCATAGCCTCGAAACAAAAGCCACCCAGCTCAGAGGCTGTGGATTATACTTGATAACAAAGAAGAGTCTGTGCTGTGGTCACTTGAGATCTAGCAGGTCAGAAAAACAGAGAGGTAAGTTCCTAACTCAGTGCTTGGGGAGAGAACAATAATACCCAGACTAAGCCTCTGATTCTCAAGTTTTCCTGTGCCTCCGAATCTGCCAGAAAACCTTTAAGATGCAGGCTCCTTGGTTCTATCTAAGAAGCTCAGTTGGCTCAGAAGGCAGCATTTTTTAAAAATATTTTATTTATGTGCATTTTATGTGTATGAGTGTATTGCCTGCATGTAGGTAAGTGCACCGTGTCTTGCAATGCCCAAGGAGGTCAGAAGAGAGAGTTGGATTCCCCTGGAACTGGAGTTATGGACAGTTGCTAGCTGCCATGTGGGTGCTGGGAATCAAACCCAGGTCCTCTGCAAAAGCAGTCAGTGCTCTTAACAGCTGAGCCAGCTCTCCAGCCCCAGAAGGCAGCACTTTAATGTACTTCCCAACCACCTAGAAAGCTAATAATCCTTACTGTCAACAGTAAAAAGAAAAACAGTGACCATGATGTTTAGCAAAGGGATAGCAATAGTAAATTCTCTGATTTTTAGCTGTGGTACATAGTTAAAAGTGTATTCAACTTACAATATCATAGCTCTCATTGAAATTTGTAACAAAAATATTTCCCATTCCTATTTCTTCCCCATAATAAGTTATGGGTGTTCCCGGAAGTGTAAAAAGAAGCATGTTCATGGTGTTGACATATTGGTTCCCCAGACGAGAAGTCAGCCGGGTAGTTTCTGGCCCACCAACCTGAAAGGAAGATATTTTAAGAACACAGCTCTACACATGATTTTATGGAAGATTTACCTTATTTGAAATAGAAAGTTCCCTAGGTAGAAAAGGTATCTCTGTGAGTATGTTAGTATCAGCAAGCTGAGATCTGAGTCCTGAGCCTGCTACCTACCGTTAACTGGCCTGTTTGCTACTGTAACCACTGAACAACAAAACGGTGGTAACAATTCACAGATCAGTCATTGCAAATGATACTGCAAATAAGATTAAAGAGTGTATGTTTAAATATTCTCACATTCGAATAATATCAACAGCAAACAAAAGTTTCTTCCATAAAGTACAAAACAAGGGCCAGTGTCATGGCTCGATGGATAAGGTGTTTCCAACACAAGCCTGGACAACCTGAGTTCAATCCCCAGAACCCACCTAAAGATAGAAGGAGACAACTGCCTCCACAGAGTTGTCCTCTGCCCCCCATATGTATGCCATGACACACACATGCCGATTTACACAATCACACACACAAGTTAAAAAATGTAAAAATGAAGAGAACATGGTAGAAATAACATATGAGATGCATCTAATGTGTCTATTGTTTTGACTTTCAAACTAAAACAAATTTTAAAAGAAATTGGGGGGCTGGAGAGATGGCTCAGTGGTTAAGAGCACTGGCTATTATTACAGAAGACCCAGGTTTGAATCCCAGCACCCACATGGCTGCTAGTAACCATCTGTAACTCCAGGTCCAGGGGATCTGATGCCCTCTTCTGTTCTCTCTGGACACTGCATGACATGGGTGCATTTACACACATGCAGGCACAATGCTCATACACATAAAATAAAAATAATTTTTAAATAAGTTGGGGGTTGGGAGATAACTCAAGTGGTAAAGTACTTGCTATGCAAGCATGAAGACATGAGTTTGATCCCCCACATCGATGTACAAAAGCCAGGCGTGGTGGCAGCACTTAGAATTCCATTACTGGGGAGGCGGAGCAGACAGGAAGGATCCCAATGAGAGACCCTCTCCATAAACAAGGTGGATGCTCTTGAGGAATGGCACCTATGGTTGAGCTCTGGTCTCTGGACATGCACACACACAAAAAGGTAAATTAATTCCTTTTTCTAAAATATTTATTTATTTATTTATTTATTTATTTATTTATTTTTGGTCTTTTTGAGACAGGGTCTCCCTGTAGC